ATATAAATATATAAATATATAAATATATAAATATATAAATATATAAATATATAAATATATAAATATATAAATATATAAATATATAAATATATAAATATATAAATATATAAATATATAAATATATAAATATATAAATATATAAATATATAAATATATAAATATATAAATATATAAATATACATATATAAATAGATAAATATATAAATACATAAATATATAATTAATTATATTATATTATATTATTAATTATAGAAATTATATTTTCATCTAAATAAAAAATAATAAAAATAATATTGTTATTACTTATAATACATTAATAGTTATTATTTTTTATCATAACAGTATTTTTTGATATTTTTATAATGTTATAATATGTTAATATTGGAAATTTATTATTGAACCGCTGTAGTATCTCATAATCAACCAGTCATAAATGTTCCGCAAACGCACCAGTTTTTAATCGCTGTACCAGTCGTACAAATCGCCTAATAACGCTAGAAACCGCAACCACCCACATCCGCAAACTCCCGCAACCGCAATCGCAACCGCCGCGTTTCAACCAGTCAGACCCTGAATCCAAATCATACCGAACGCCTAATCCTAAAATAAATAATATAAGAATTTAGAATATCTACCACATATAAATAAGAATAAATAAAATAAAATCTTCATATACCAAAAACAAAACAATAATGATATATTTTCTCTATTAGACATAAAATCTGATTTTCCTACTTTTTCTCTAGAATTAAACAATTTATCATCTCTCTTTCTCTGTCTTCTCTCATCTCCTCTTGAGTCCTCACCTGATCATCCTCATAAAGGTAATCCAAATAGCAAGAGTATATATGTGCTCTTCGTTAGTTATTACATTGCTCATAAAATGTTGTCTCAATCTTCCCTTTTTCATATGTGACATTGCTTTTTACAAAAAAAAAAAAGAAGAAGATATTAGGAGAGATAAATGGAGGAGCCGAAATGGTTAGACGGTCTCTTAAGAACAAAGTTCTTCAACATTTGCCCTCGTCACCGCGAGACACCGCGAAATGAATGCAACATGTTCTGTCTCTCCTGTCAAAACACCACGTTTTGTATCTACTGCCGCTCCTCCCTCCACATTGATCATCCCATCCTTCAGGTTCACCACATTCACTCTGTAACTCCAAATTTCTTTGATCACTGACCTTTGCGATGAATTATACAGATAAGGAGATCCTCGTATCATGATGTGGTTAGAGTGTCGGAGATAGAGAAGGTATTGGACATAGGAGGAGTGCAGACTTATGTCATCAATAGTGCGAGGGTTCTCTTCTTAAACGAGAGACCTCAGCCTAAGAACTCCTCTCATGGCGCTGCGTCCTCCACCACCAAAACCATTTCCTACTTCTGCGAGACTTGTTGCAGAACCCTTCTTGATCCCTTTCGCTTCTGTTCCTTGGGTTGCAAGGTATGTTACACCTACATTTTTTATTCTTATATGAACATTTTTATTTTATCACCAGCTTTGTAAATCATGGACCAAAAAAAAACTATCAATTGTTACATCTATAGTCTATAGAAAACCCGGATGAATGTTTCATAATTATTACTAATGTATTGAAATTTATTTTGTGTGTCAAAATTTCATAAGGTATAACGTTCAGTTACTTGTATGGTAAATTGGTAGGCTGTGTTAGAATTTCAAGCATATATAGACAATGTATCTCAAGAAAATAATACATACGTAGAAGTAGTTATATATATGTATATGTGAGAGTAAAGTGTGATCATACGAAATGTCAGGTTGAAGGAATGAGGAAGAATAAGGAAGAGGAAGAAGAGGGATTGCGTAAAGAAAGACAACAAGAAACGCACAAAGCCACGCATCCTCCAACTCATACTTCTAATTCTAGGCGACGAAAAGGCATTCCTCATAGAGCTCCTTTTGCCTCCTAATTTAATCAATCTTTTTCAAGAAATAAAAAAATAAATAAACATTCCTTTAATTTATTTAATGGTCCACCTAAATCAGCATAATATATGCGTATTGGGTGGGTGTTTATATATTCCTTATTTGTACAATGTCCAGCTCAATTCTCACAATCATCTCACATGGAAATAACAATTTGTATAGAACAAAGTCGTAAATTCACCTTTTTTAAAACGTCCATATTATACAAATTTTTGTAAAGGAGGGAAAACCATGAAAATAATGTAAAGACTAACTTACTATAGACTATTCAGCACGAGAATGTCGGTGGAGATATTTGTATGAAATCAGTAATGATAATCATATTGTGGTGGTTTGAAGTTACCTGTCACTAGACGGCTAGCTACTGAATATTTTACTCTAGCCTGAAATTTTGTTGAGTTACTTAAGTATATATGTTTAATAAAAGAGTTAGTATTTGTGGGGTTTAAGGCTCAATAATTGTGTATTTATTAAATATTGTTAGAGGGACATGAATGTGTACATGTTTTGAATAGGACACATGAAATGTTTCTCTTCTTGTTTTCGAACTTTAATGTTCAAGCTGCTATCTAATTGAAATAGTTTATTGTAGGCGTTAGGTATTCGAAAGATACAGTTACTTAAAAAAGCGAAAGGAGACATTCACTTATTTAGATAATATTTTTTCTTCTCTAATATGGGCGTTCAGGAGCTTCGGTTCAGTTTAGTTAGAACCTTTAGAAGTTTTATTTGTTTGGGGATACGGAAAACATTTCTAACTAAACCAAATTGGAAGTTCGGTTTAGTTCTGCAATAAGAAAAACTTAGCTCGGTTTATATTTGGTGCCAAAATGAAACCTAAAACCAAAAAGAACCAACAACTGGGGCGAGAAGAGGAGAAAGGAGACTCGTTTGAACCAAAACCACAGCAAGACCACCTTGATCAGGTAAATGCTACCTGATGTCTGGAAGAAAAAGGTTTAATAAACCATAGATTCTTAAGGGGCAAAAAAAGATGGAGGCGAAGTACCTCTCACACAGCCGTGATCTGCTGAAGAGAGGCCCTAGAAGCAGAAGAAAAATAAATAATACGGGCTTAAAACATAATAATAAAGTGGTTCGTCTACAACTCAAACATTTCTCCAGTGAAGAGAATTCATCAACACAAATAAAGAAAAAAGTATCATAGAATGTGTAATTATAACTTTGTTTACGAGAGACATAAACCAATAGAGAGAATGCATATATAAATCTCTACTTAGGGATGGTGGGATTATTTTGAGGGTAGTTGAGAGTCCTCTTGAAGAGCATGATGTGTGGCTCGGGGCGATGAATAGCGTAATGGACCCATCCACGGCTTTGCTGCACTCCTATAGCACGCCATTCACTCTGCACTTACCAAAATGTAAATAAAAAACTCTGTTGAAAACTCTCAAATCAGGAGCTGAGAAGAACTATCCTAAATCCGAAGCATGTCACATACTAACTTATAAACAAGTCTATGGTCTCAACTTTTAGTAGTCATTAAACAACAAAGAAGAAAACATAGATCCACACTTCCAAAGATAGGATATCAGAACCAAGAAAGTAGCTTACAATGAAAACATAACTTAACACAAGAATCATGTGGGTAGTGAATTATTTAAGGTAAATGAATACAGTTAAAAGGTAACTAACTGAATAGAAATATGAAATGCTTTATAATGAGAATCACAAACAAATAGCTACATCTCTCTCTCTCTCATTAATTAACCTAACTTAAACTCACTAAACTAAACTACTTTACTAAGCGTAGCTTTCGATGATGTAAAGATTAGATCACAATCAAAGTTCCATTCATGACACTGCGAGGAACAAAACAAAAACAAGAAACGAATAGAGGAGAGGAGAGCCATCCTATTAATATAAACTGACTTACTTCGGAGAGAATACGATTCTTAGGTAGAAGCTTAGCAACCTCAGGAGGAAGTACCACGTGCCTGCGACATTCAACCCCTAAACGCGATTAAAAACTGAAGAATCAGAATAAAAAAATAAAAAAGTGATGATGTATTATACCTGTACTCGTAAGTATCATCGAAGTATTTGTCAGAATACTCGATTTGACCCATCCTCTTCAACACCAAAAGGATATTAAAATCTGCGAATCGTGTTTATAACCAACTGTAAGGAGAAGAAACGCAAACACCTTGAGAATTAATGAAATTTGAAGTAGTAGTAGTAGGCCCAGGATTGGGGGCATAGATGTAATTATGAGGATACTAAGAGATGTATTTTGAAATTCCTAACAGCAGCTCCTTCCCGCTCAGTGAGTGAGGAGGATGCCCTAAATTTTTTTTTACGGTTTTAAATTGTAAACTAAACCGGTTCCACTGAATCCAATTAACTTTGCATCTACAAAATCAAACTCCAAACATGCCTTAAAAACCTTTCAAGTCTTCACTTAAAAAGTTTGGTTAGACATAAAATATGTGTTTTTGTTATCAAATTTTTGGATCTGTAAACCACGATTACAAAACTTTTGGTTCACTGATTAGTAGATGTCATTCAATTCAAGCAACAAATGGTCGATCTTTGTATTCGAAGATATGTCTGAGTTATTTGAAAACGGAAAGTAATTAACAACACTTTTAGCATTGGCATTATATAATACAAAAAAAAAAAAAAATTAGCTTCATAAATAATCGTAAGAAACACCAAAAGAATATATCGTGTAGACTAATTTACTTCCCACACTTGTTCTCTCTACTCTTCTACCAAAAACCAAATCCTCTAAAATCCCCCTTTTGTGTTATCTCTTTCAATTTTTGAGAAAGATAACACATTAGGAGGAATACCTGTACACGAATACTAACCAAACTGCATTATATCAAATTCTAGAATAATAAATAAGAAAAAAGGCATCATATCGATTCACCGACTTTCAAAAACCCAAAAAGAAAGAAAAAAAACGAAGACACCATTGAGATTTTGATTTACTGCTCCATATTGTCCTCCTCAGGTTTACTCAAGGCAGGTACTGTCTTTCTCAGCATAGATGTTCCATGAAAGACCATCACCGAGAAGTCTTTTCTGTATTCTTTCATCTACAGCAAACACACAGTTTATCAGACATGTTATTCAGCTAAAGAGTTATATATACCTTATTATTAGACATCATACCTCCTCTTCGGTCATTTTGGTGAAACCGAATTTGTCAGTCCATATTGATTTTGCTTCATCTGCTGCTGGTAGCACAAGATGTTTCACGTTTAGGGACCCAAGTAGCCTCTCGATGCAATCAAACAGGCATTGGAAGTAGCCCTACAGCAAACCAAAAAGAAAAAGAATATAAAGTCTCAAAAAAGAGCGTTGCAAGCATTTTTCATCTCTTACACCCAGTTACATGATAATTTGATCACATAGTATCAAATTCAATCTGAGCATCTCACCAAGAACCAAAAAAATGAAGGTTCAACAACAAAGCTAATTACCTGTCCTTGACAATCTCGGCTGGTAGCAACCAGAGGGAGTTCCGCAAGTTCAGACCCAAAAACCCTAAAGATTCCCACGGAAACAATCACCCCACTGCACCAGCGAGAGAGAAAAAACAAACACGGATTAACAAGATGAAATAGGCTTCACAAAAATGTAGACTACTTAGGAATCAGAATCTTACTCCACAGTCAACATGGTGCAGTACATGCCACTGAAATCTTGTCCTTTTGCTTTCCTTCTGTTCCACACCCAAAGTGGTTCATCAGCAAATGGGTATAATAAACAAGCAAAATCATGCACTAAAGTTGTTGACGTTACTATATTTGCACTTACCCATACAGCATAGCCGGAATGAGATCTCCCCTGGTCCCAGATTCACTGATGGGATCAAACCGCTCCTATAGCAAAACCATTGTTCAAGGGACAAAAAAAAGAGTTAATCCTTTGTATATAAAATCGAAGGGACATACATAACAAAGTATAGACAAGTTTGAATTGTGGCCAAGTTACATGAAGAATAGAGAGTGCCTTCCCAAGCAACGCTTTTGTGTTTGTATCATCCGAAGAGGTCAACTTTCCGCTAAGGACCCTCCATCTTATGTCTGGAGTGGTATTGTCATCTGGACAGCTTTCTTCACTGGGATTTTGCTTCTTCTTTAGAGAGTTGTAACTAAGCTTCTCTTCTCCACGAACTATCAAACTGCCTAACGAAGTGTTGATATTTTCGCACCCAAGGGAACAGAACCATTTATCTTCAGGTAGTTCCTGTTAAGACGAAAGACAAGAATAATGAGCTATCACCAAAGAGGAAATAAAGAGACAAGGAAAGAGCCAAAGAGGTAGAGCACCTTGAGATCAGCAATGTTGTGTTCTTTCAAACAGCCAACATGGAACTCCTTTTCACACTGAGAAGGAAACATTGAAAATGGTGACAACCAAATGCAGACTTAAGAGCCAGATGTTATATTACAACAATAATTAACAAGATACCTGATCACATATTATCACAGTGCGAGCATTAAAGCCCAACCTGCAAAAACTATGGCCTCTGCAAAATCAAACAAAGAAAAAAAGTAAAGGTCAAGCTCAAACGGAAATTTTTTCAATTAGGAGAAAATCATCTTCTGAACCAAACAAAGGCAACCGCCATATAACTTGATAATAAAAAAGACCGATATTCACCTGCATAACACGCATACGCTTGGGAGCTCACTCACAAGGGAGCTGACAATTCGAATGCATCTTGTGGTTATCTGAGCTATTGCATCAACTCCACGAACTCTACCAGCTGCAACGGCGTTGGGATTGTTCTCCACGAACTTCTCTCTCTCAATCATATTCACACAATACTTGCAGGACCACCTCTCACTCGGGAGGCTTGGTAAATAAGCACATTCTAGATAAATACCAAAACAGAAACGTAGGCTACATCAAGCTGACGCTCCAAAAACTCTTTAATATAGCAACAGAAGAAATCCAACAAGGAAAACTGGAAAAGTGAAAAACCCGAACCTATATGATATGATCTTGGACAGGTATCACAACACAAGAGTTCACCCCCATCCTTACAGATACTGCAAAGGTCATCATTTTCACGGACTGAAAACTTCTGGTCCATTGTTAGTGCTACTGAGAGTTCATGAAGAGATACACCATTGGTTGTATAAATTTGATGAAACCTGAACATTAATAGAAGACCAACTAGTTAGGTGTAAGCCTTTTCTGTGTATTACACAAACAGCATCTTATGGATCCACGGCTTTAGCTACTAATTAGTCTACACTTAATGCTCTTTGTCTATAGAGCACACGAACAAATTAGGAAGAATAGTTCTTGTTTATAGGTTTCCAAGGACACTGGTCGTAGCTTCACTATAACAATCCTCAGTCTCACTGCTACTAGAGCGTGAATATGGAAATAGATGCAAAAAAACTTACGGCTTCCGACGACTTCCACAGCCAGCATGAGCCTCAAACGTTGAAGGACTGACCTGATCATGTAAAAGATATAAAGGCTAATTCAGAGCCCCATACTTAATGCCAGGAAAGAAAATTTAACGACATTAACGAGAGCGTACCACTTTGTCACAACAAGAACAGAGTATCCCAAATCCCTTCTTATACCCGACAAGCATTTTCTGCGTAATTAACAAAATGGTTGGAATAGATAAAGTTACACAAACAGGATGGAGAAAAGACATTAGTCATGCAAAACTGACCTTTCCAGCGAGAAAATACCCCACTTCGGTCCCATCTGGCAGTATATCATCCTCAAAAACAAGTTTGTGCAGCCGTACATCCCTTTCAAGATGACAAAAGATGGACTGAGAACTAATTCAAAATATGACAGAGAGAAAGGAAAGACAACGATCTAGCAGTCTAGCACTAGACAATAGATACATCGGATAAACTCTGTCACAGTCAAACTCATAACAAAAATACTCACTTTCTGGTTATTTTCCCATGGCTGTTGCTTTTGATTGCGCTGGATTTTGACTCACTCCCTGAAACCACACCTGGCTCAGGTGACCTATAGAGCCCCAAGATAAAGTTAGCATAGCGAATAAAGTAAGTCAACAAATATGCTGTATGTAACCGATATATGCAAACCCAGAAGAAAGGTATGGATCTTAGTCCTGGCAGAATTCTCTCTGCTCGAACCACCACTTAAATGATAAGTATATGGCAAAGTTTCTAATATTACATCTCATATAATCATTTTCCAGATCGTTAAATGACAGAATGCGAGCTAATTATAATATAACAGGCAGCCTACTAGATGCAAACTTAGAAGAAAGTTATGTAGCTTAGTATAAACACAAAATTCAAAAAATAGTTAATACTACAAGAAAGCAGAACCATCACATAGTTGGCGGCGCCATATACATAACACTCACTTTTTGGTTAGTTGTTCTCGCCTGTTACTTTGGCGAGGAGTGGAGGAGATTGGCCTACCGGGGATAGTTTTCTTAGTCACACATGGGCTGGAAAATCTGTAGGAAATTGAGGGCAGATTTAGAATCAATCAAATAGATATAAGTATACAACGAATATAAAATAGAATTCTAGATAAGCAGCCATATCATAGAGGAATATACAGCTCCTAAATCACTTTACATTATTAGAATATCAAAAATTTGCTACCTTTTCATTTAAGCTTCCACACAGTCTGTGAAAGACTAATTTAACAGGATATAAGAGTCTGTACATCTTACTTTCATATAATTCAGCGGCAAGGAAAAGGCTTTTAAGAGAAAAGAAAGAAAGATGAGTCATACCCATTAAGAGAATTTGCGTTAGACGGACTGGTATGGGGTTCTTGCTCCTTTCTCTCCAAACACGACTTGCACAAAAATAATGACTTTGTTTCACAAGGCTCAACCATTGGACCTGCAACCAATTAGATGTAGCCAGACTGAATTTTTTAACTTTAAGAGAAAGATCAAGTAAAACAGTCCTTCTGATGTTGCATAACCAATCAACAAACCTTGGCAAATGAAACACAGGCTAGGTTTCTTGAAATCTGGTCCGACTAACAAACGAAGTCTTTCTTCTAGTGTTTCAAAGGGTGTTTCCTTTAATGCATTCATGACCTCACGAAGTGAGCATCCAGACTCCAGTAAGATATACTCAGGTGGGCGCTTGTTTGTGCTAGAAGCATGCTGCTCGTACACCGCAGGACTTACCACCTGCGAAAATGAAATTTAAAAAGTTACATCAACCTGCTAAGCAATTATGCAGGTCCAATCACAAGACCTTTAAGAACAGTAGATGTCACTAACCTGAGTTCCTTTGCAGTCACCACAGAAGCACGTAATGCCAGTTCCTGTTATTACTCCTTTAAGCCCTCTAGTCCCTGGCTCTCTCACCTACCATAGGTGAAATACGCATCAGCTATATAAAATCCCTTTTTCACACGACTGTAAAAAAAAAAACAAAAAGAAAGCCACCATATATACCTTTGCTCCTCGAACATAGTAAACAGTTAGCCCCTCAAGTATTCCAGAATCGAGAAGCTCTTTCAGCTTTTTCGGGAAATCCCGGATAAACTTCCTGGGCCGTCCACGCTTGTTGGGAGTTGTAACTGAAGAGCTATGAAAATCATCCATTCTAACATCATTGGCATGCTCTGATGGTTCGATATTCTCCAAATCAGGATTGTCTAAATCACTTGTTTGTTTGCCTAATGACCTAGTCAACCTCCTCAAAGGCTTACCTACTACATCACTTACACCCTTCTTATCCACATGGCATGGATCCACACTGTTTTTCTCATGAACCTCCTCCTCTTTCCCATATCCCACTATAGCAGAAGCATCAACACAACTATCTTCACTATCTTTAGCTTCCTTTTCTTGATCTATATGATCTTTGTCACCATTAGCAACACAACAACTATCTTTACCTTCCCTTTGTTGATCTATACGATCTTCGTCACCATTAGCTTCCTTGTCTTGATTTGCATGATCTTTATCACCATCAGCCTCAGGTTTGCTACCTTCAGCATTCAACCTAGACCGAGTCAACCTCCTGCCAGGCTTTTTAAAACCCAAAGAACCATCCAACTTAACAAAACAAGATCTCGAAGTAAGCTTAACAAACTCACTAAAACCAGAAGCAGGACAACCCATAACAATCTCTCTCCTAACCACACTCGAACATTCCTTCTCACCCACTTCAACTTCCATCTTCTCAATCTCCTCCTCCCTTGACTGTTTCTCTTCTTCTTCCTCATTAATCGCCACGTCATCACCACAACACCCACTCTCAATCTTCTTCTCCTCAGACTCAATCTCACTAAACAGCCCCTTCCCTTCTTCCTCAACAACATCATCAACAACGTCACTCTTCTCCTCCTCCTCATCTTCAGACATTGCAACAACATCAACATCAACATCAACCTCGTCGAGACGAATCTTCTTCTTGGACCCGGAACGGAGACAACGGGTGGGTCTTTTGGAGTCGGTGCTTTTGCTTCCGCGTGTGCGGCCAAGAGACTCGCCTCCACAGATCTCGGACTGAGATTTCAACATGAACTGCAACTCTCTCTTGCAGCCTGTCCGAATCATCGTCTCCCCTGTGGATGTACCTTTCGCCATCGATTTGTTTTGATTTCGCGAGATTCAATGTCGGAATCTCAGGGAAAAAAAGGGGAGATTGGATCTATTTTATGGGTTCATAAAGAGAGGGAAAAAGATGCGACTTTTGAGATCAATTTAGGGTTTTCCAGAGATTAGGGCTCCGTAGTTTCGAGAGAGGAGAGGGTGGAAAGCTGTTTAGTGGTTATCTTTCTGGCAAGGAGGAGGAGATACGAAAGTCTTCTTGTTTCTATTTTTATGTTTTTTTTTTCTTTGTCATAATCCATAAGAGTGTTACTTTAAAAAAAAAAATATTAGTATTAAGCAGGAGATAAGACCAGACCATAAATAATATCATCATCGTTTCCAGTTATTTTTTCGAGATTCACTCGACGTTTGTTTTGATCGAGTTCCCCCCATAGAGAGAGTATATTCTGTAACTTGCAACCCTTTGTACGATCAATTGTTCAGTAATGTTTTTTTGAAAAGAAAACTATTTTGGGTGTCTTTTTTTTTGTCTTGACTATTAACTACGGTAATATAACTGAAACTTCTGTTCTTTCTTTTACTAGTTTCGGACACCACTTTTGAGAACACGAGTGACACTTTGAAGCACGTCCCTTTTAGTTAAAGAGGAACCTTCATTTTGGCAATGAACGATTTGAGTGACATTCTTAGGCGCAAAGGGAGACGCTGATGGTCGTCTTCTACAGATCTTTCAAACAAGAGTCATTATTGGATGTATAGTTTAGAGTGGGAATAATCTTCCCGGAAGATGAAGAGGGGGATCTAATTGGAGATTTTGAGAGTTTTAGTTGGTTCAGATCTATAATCAGTAATTGGTTTATCATTAGTTGGGGATCTAATACTGATTTTTTTTTTTTTTTGTGAATAATAATCTAGAAATATATCTTTGATCTGTATAACTTCCATTATGATTTAGAGTCGATTTCATTCCAACGGCTTGGATTGGGCAATCGGATTTCGGTTCGGGTTCATTCAGGTTTTCGGATTTATGAATTTCAGCCCCATTTGGATATTATAAAAATTCGGGTCTGATTCCGTTCGGTTTAGTCGGGTTCGATTCGGGTTTAGTAATATGTCTAAGATCCGGTTGAACCCAAAATAGTTTCGGTTTCGGATATTAATCGGGTTATCGGTTCTAAAAATACTAATTTATACTCACTATATTTTCAATCATTTTATTAAATTTGTGTATTTAGCTTCTAAAAAACATATTGTTCTCCTTCAAAATAATATTATGAAACTCGTCTATCAACCATATAAGATTTGTCATTGAACTATAGGTGACAACACTAAACATATAATGATTAATGACAAACCAAAACCTTGTATGAACGAAAATCCTACATAATGAAACATAAAAAGTTAAAGAACAATTCTATAAACGTAAGAATTACTATTTAAACTTTAAAAACAACATTATATAAACTTCAAAACAAATTTATTTGTAACTTAACTTCAAATGTAATGTCAACCATAAAGATTAATATTAACCAAATAACACTATATATTAGACTAAGTATTTGAGTTAATTATTTATATCATAACTAATTATTGTAGGTACTTAATAATATATTAATGTGTTTTGGAAACATATTAAAAATTTAGATTGGATATGGTACAAGTTTTTTTTTAATTTTAAAGTTTCGGATTCTTTTGGATATCCATCTAAGTTCGGGTTCGGTTCGGATAAAACCCATAACGCGAAATACCGTAAAACAAGACCATTCAATACTTATGTCGGGTTCAGATTGATTTGGGTTCCTATTTAACGGGTCGGGTTTGGTTTGGATTTTTGGGTTCGGTTTTTTGGCCCAGCCCTACTAACATCACTGAAAAATCATACGGAGACGAGAATAGAAAGCATGACAAGAAGAACACCGGGTGGACCAAGCAGAACTTGAAATAAGTAAACTTTTCTTCGCGTATCGAAAAATTTAAGAGCGTAATTAATAAGAGGTTTTTAAGATAGGATTCTTATCAAAATATTAGAAACCGTCTCTTAACTTTTAAATAAAACATTTAATAACAGATTCTTAGTCTTTTTAATTAAAAATTCAGAGATGATTTCTTATATTCCGCTAAAAATCAAACCCTAAAAATTTTCATTTATCATATTCTAAAAGTTGGATAAAAGTTATCTCTTAATTCACTGCTTTCTCAGTTTTGTTACTTTCGTTGTCCTCAGCATTGCCCACAGGATAAGTCACAATAAAGACTGTAGCTTCTCTTAAGCATGTCAATTTAAAGGTAGTATTATATACTTCCCATTTCAATTTAATTGTCATTTTGAATTTTCACACAGAGATTAAAAAAATATTTAATTTTGTAAATTCTTTAAACAAAAATACTATTAACTATACACTTAACCATATTTCAATCAATAAAAAAATAGAAATATCATATAAAATTAATAAATTTTATATTGAACACACTTATTTTAAAATGAAAATTTTATCCTACAACGATATATAAATTGAAACGGAGGTAGACCTTAAATATAAATTGATACAATTGCTAAAAAATAATTTATATATATATATATATATATATATATATATAAATTGATACATAGTCGATGTGGTTACTCTTAACAAGTCTATGTGGTAATTACTCTTAACAAACTGACCTCACTATAACTGTTCCCTGAGAAACCTCCCAGTGAAGTTGTTGGATCAAGGGAACCCGTAAATGAACTCAAACATGAGTCTGGCGAGGCGGAATGCGGGTGAAAAGTGGTGAGCATAGAAGACAGAGTTATTGAAATGATACAAAACATATTGACGAGGTATCTCAAATAAATAGTTAACATGATCGACGCCTCCAATGTCATCCTAATTTCCTGGTTTCATCTTGAAATACTGCATCCAGAATCCACCAGATACGTTAAGGACTAGTAAAGCTAAACACGAGTACAATTAGAAAAAGGAGGGAGTGCAAACCACTTTACATGATAGAACATAGCAATCTAAGTTATTTCCAAAGATAAGACAAATAAATAACGCAAACTGACACAATAAAAGCCTACCTTTAAAATTATTTGCACTAGCTCCGATAAAATCTAAAGCTCAGTTGTTGGAGCTACCGAACTCTCACATTCTTGCAAGATTCATACAACCCTGCTCCAAAATCATCGGTTATATAGTACTCAATCCCATCCATGGTCGAGTTATTCTTGATTTGCATTTGGGTCTAAGCTAGTTAATTGATGTTGGAAGCAGATCAGAGATGGTGTAATGATACGATTTTATATACCTTTGTAGTAGAAGTAACATTGACTCTGATCAGGAGAGCAAGTAAGTTCACATAAAAGATTCAGAAAGTTCCTCAAGCCTGCTGGACAGCCTACAATAAAGGGAATAGCCTGACAAAAAAAGAAAAAATAGGAACTCTTTGTTTCACATAATCACATTCCTAATAATATTTGTAATCACTATCAATAAGATCAAAAGTTCTATTCAGCCATAGCTATCATATCAATATAGCCAAAACCAAGCCATTGAAACATTTTAGTGGGTCATTAAAACGACTGTGATAGTTAAACATTACCATCTAACGCAAAAACAAATGATTAGTAGTAACGACTATCACTAAGATCAAAGAGGAGGTTTTTTTTTGGTCAAACAACAACTTCATTTCATAATAATAAGGATTACACTCCATCCAAGAAGGAAGAGTTTAGCAATAAGAGAGCTGACTTTGCCACGGTGTCAGCCTGCATATTACTTGATTTAATATACATAAACAAAAGATATAGCCCATAGACATCACTATCAGAATAGTCAAACCAAGCTATTTGTTTTGGGTATCAGTGCAATTTTGTTGTTTCTTTCAGTTTTGGTATAATTTTATTAAAAGTAATTATCTCATAGACATTATTTACCAATTGATTTGTAGTGTCATCAGTACAATCATTTTAAAGAAAAAAATGATGACATAATTAATTAATAATGGTGACATGAAATCTTATTAATAATGATATAGACGAAAATTAACAATGAGAACATTCCACAATAGAAATAAAAATATAGGGTAATAAGTATATAGTCATTACCATAGTTATAAAACTTAAATAAGAGAATTTGAATATTATATTTGATTTATTATAAACTTGCAAACTGAACAACTTAATTAAAAAACTAGAAAAAATCAACTGTTTATTGAAATATTATATATTTACATTGTTTTAGATGGGAACGGTAAATTGTATTGAATGTATTTCTTTATTGTATTTAAGTTTTATGAATAAATTATTTATATACTTCTCATGTTTATGACTTTTTAATAAATAAATAGTGTTATAATTCATATTTAAGATATAAAAGAATAAATTACGGATAAAATATGTAATTAATTTTTATAATATTTTTATTTTGAAAATAAAAATTCTATGCAAATTATTTATTATTTATATCTCCAAAGTTTTATATACTGTTACGAAAAAGATACTATTACTTTAAAATAACTATATCATTTATTTAAAATAATTATATAATTTATTTTATAAATATCATATATATTATTAACCAATTGATTGTTTAAGTCTATAACCACTATAATAAAAAATGATGACATCAATTATTAAAAAAAAATGTGATATGTTTATAGCTCATTATCTTACAACCATAAAATCATGTATAAAAGTTATTATTTCAGAAAAAAATATTTTTATTTAAAATAAACGTCAACACAGATTAAAACTTTCATAAACTAAATAGAATATCAATTAAAATGATTATTTTCTATTTTTAAAATTTAATAAAATAAATTCAATAACAATTTAAAATAATTAAATAAAAATTATTATATCTGCGCAAAAACATCTAGTTCAGAGCATCTCCGAAAATATTTTTTATTTTAAAATTTGTAAAACGCTATATTTAAAGTTTTAAAGTGTTGTGCTCCAAAAACAAAACGTCATACTTAACTTCAAACTTAAGGTCAAACAAAGTATTTGTATTTTATTTATGGTCCTTATATTTTTCATAATTAATTCAAATTCATAGAAATTTTATAAATAACTATCATATATATTAAAATATTACAGTAATATTAATTGATAAAATATTACACTAAAATATAAAATTATAAATAGAAATATACAAATAAAATACTACATTAAGTCTTGTAATATTTTTTTGTATAGTTCTAGTTTTAAAATATTTTAAATCTTATTTTTATGTTTATTTTTTAGAAAAAATATGTAAAATTTGAATTTCTAAAATAAGTTTGAAATTTATGAGATAAGAATTTTTAAGGATTAAAAAATTAAACAATAAAATATATCAGAATTATACATATGTTTGTAATTGTAAGGACCAAAAGGAAAATAAAATATGAAAGATTGTAACTGTAAAAACCAAAATACAAGGACTATAATGTAAATAAAATATGAAAGTTTGTAATTTTAAAGTTTTATTATTATTAATAACTTTTGTTAATATCAAGGACTATAAAGTAAATAAATAAAATTTTAAGGATTTTTTTGGGGATTATGATTGGAGCAATTTAACCTTAAATGCTTATTTTGAAGTTTTACTTTCCTTAGAGCATCTCCAAAAAGACATTCTATTTTAGAGTTTGTAAAACTATATATATGAAGTTTGTAGATGTTATACTCTAAAAGCAAAACTTTAAACTTAATTTTAAAATTATTTGTATTTTATACTATGATTCTTCTATTTGTCATAACTAGTTCAAATTCATAGAATTTTTATAAATAACTAACACATATATAAAAATATTACAGCAATATTAAATGACAAAATGTTACACTAAAATATGAAATTATTAATAGAAATATATACTTAAATATTAAATTAGAAATAAAATACCACATTAAGTGTTGTAATATTGTTGTTGTCTAGTTCTAATTTTAACTATTTTAAATCTTATCTTGTTGTTTTTTTAAATATATATATATATATACATATATATATATATATATATGTGTAAAATTTAAATTTAGAAAATGTTGAAATATTTTTGCGATATGAATTTTCAAGGGTTAAAATGATAAACCATAAATATATAAGAATTATAAATATAATGTATAATTGTAAGAATTCAAATGTAAATAAAAATATGAAATTTCAAATTTGAAGTTTTGCGTTGTGACATACTATATTTAAAGTTTCACTACTTAATTTGTAATTTTTAAATTTCTTTTTGGAGAACTAAAAACTTTATATTTAAAATTATAAAATGTTTTTTGTAAATGTTTTCAAAATAAGGTTTTGGGTTGGAGATACTGTAATATACTCTAACTAATGCATTATTTTTTTGGTTAGATCCAACGCACTATTTACTAAGCATTATATAGGTATTATATTTGTGTATTTGCTTTTTGGCCTCCCAATAAGGCAATAACGCACTTTTGTTTAGAGTGGGGATGATGATGAGAGTGTCGGAAAGGAATGCATTTAAATAAAAAATTCCGTCTGTCGGTGTCAAGTCTTATTTGCTTCTCTAGCTCATTTTAGTTTACAAATTTATCAAATTAAAACATTTCAGTTATTTTTTATAGCTAAATTCTTTTTTTGGAAAAGGTTTTCAATATTTAAAAATGTTTGCTTCATTAAAAGTCCGAAGAATAACAGTTCATCTAATTGATAAAAATGGAATTAAAATCCGGTACTTCAGCAGCGGTTTATACATAATACAAGATAATTGTGTTTTATAGAGTAAACTGTACTTACTGATGTTTGATTGGTAAACTAAATATTTTGCGGTACAATTTTATTTATCTGATTACTAAAACAAGTGTTTATGAAATTTAAACCAAATTTGATTCAATTTACACCGTATTAAGTAAATGTTTCAAAATTAAGACTTTTCCGCTTAAAAACATTTCTGCATAGCAAACATTTTGCATTAACCGTATAGCAAACTTTCCTGCATAGCAATATTGTGGTACAACAGTGAATATTGATGATTTTAGAAAAAAAATTGAAAAGCAAAATTTGATTATTATATATTATAATAAATTTGTTTTAGAAATATTTTAGGCTTTTATTTAATTAATTTATTTTCTAGATTTTGTATATTTTTTTTTTTTGAATTTACTGTATAGCAAACATTCGTGCATAATAATATTGTGGTATAATATTGAAAATGTTAGAAAAAAATGAAAAGCCAAAAGTTGATTATTATATATTTTAACAAATTTTATTTTAGAAATATTTTAGGCTCTTATTAATTAATTTATTTTCTAGATTATGTATATGAAAGTAGTAATTTATTAAATATATTATCGGATTTAGAAAGTAGATTTGTTTGAATACATTGGATAAGTTTTCCAACACATTTTCATTATTTGATTATCATTAAATTTTTCTATACTGAATCATTTTCTTTTTAAATAGAACCCATGATTTCTTCATGTGTGAAAAGAAAACTAACAAGTACCTAATCTTCATAAGTACCTATGACCAACAATGTCTAAGAAAAGTGGTATTTTCACCTAAACTACTCTTTAAAAAATCCTTAGTGGGGCTGTATAAATAGCGCACCGTTCTTTTGGCAGCCTCGTGGAAAAAACAGTGAGTGGCATTAGTTTTGTTGTCACTGGTTCTACGAGTGACATTACTTGTTCAAAACACTACTTGTTATAATGGAGATCCCAAAAGGTTCACTGGCATTGTTGGGAGACAATGATCGACCCTTAGCCCATTTCCCAAAAAACATCTGGGAAAATCCCTTGACGTTATTCTCGATTTCACAAAAGGTAAAACTACTTTGATCTGTAACTAGCTAATTAACCACCTTTTCGTGGTAATCTTACCTATGAACAGTTAATTAATATATCTTACAGGGCGTGTTTTAGCAGATATGGTTTCCGATTCTAAAATAAAATAAAAAATCCTCCCTACATTAAATTTGTCTTTATAAAAGAATTTGAAGATGACCTGAGAATATTTGAATCAGCCATTTCTGAAACTTTCATTATCCTCGTAAATTTGTAGGAAAGTGACACAAACAAAAACAAGTTGCGTTCGATAATGGAAATAGTGAAACAAATGTTGGCTACTTCAGAGGCTGATTCGTTAGAATACATCAAGCTAGTTGATAATCTTTGTCGCCTTGGTGTATCGTATCACTTTGAAGGAGACATAGAAGCTCGGTTGGAGAAGTTGTTTGGTTGTGATGGCTTTAATCAGATGATAAGAGAGAAAGACTGCGATTTATATACTATTGGGATTATCTTCCAAGTTTTCAGGCAGCACGGCTTTAAACTTCTCCCAGGTAACAATATTTTGGCCTTCATTTTTTTTTTTAATTGAAAAAGTTGTGAGCAGAAGTCCATAATCTCTTTAGACCATAGACAATAAACGGTTGTTAAACTCCCATAGATTAAGTATGTAAGTGCAGAATGACATTCTTTTTGAAACAAAAAAAATTAAATGATACTTTTTTGAAATAGAGAAAGTATTAAAAGCGCCCTTAATTTGCAATAGTTGTTTATAAATGTGCTAATATGCTCCTTCAGTTTCAGAAAATGTATGTCTTAAAATTTCCACTTATATTTAGACAAAATATGAAATCTTGATTATAAATACAATATTTTGTATATTTAGACAAGAGAAATGTAAAACGAAATTATTTTTAAAAATAAAATTTATCATTATATATTATTAAATAAACTATATTAGAATGTAAAAAGCTTACCTTTTTAAAACAATATTTTTTTCAAAAAAAATATGGATCTTTTGAATGGAGGGAGTATTAAATTTTCGTATAGATGTGTTTGACAACTTTAAGAACAGCGAGGGAAAGTTCAAGGAAGATCTTGCTGTGGATGCAAAGGGTATATTAAGCTTATATGAAGCTGCCCACTGGAGCACCCACGGCGAAGAAGTTCTAGACGAAGCTCTTGTTTTCTCAAAGTCTCATTTGGAAAAACTTTCTTCTCGATCAACCCCACATCTCGCAATACGCATCAAAAACGCCTTGAAACACCCATATCCTCGAGGCATCTCAAGGATAGAAACGAGGCAGTATATCTCATACTACGAAGAAGATGATTCGAGTGATAAGACACTGCTCGAATTCGCTAAGTTGGATTTTAATATATTGCAAGTGCAATACCGTGAAGAGATTATTCATGTTTTCAGGTAACGTCTCTAGCTATTTAGTAAATTGTAAATTGTGTTCCTTAGACTTTTTGTAGTAAAGTTGGGTTTCTTTTATGTTTCAGGTGGTACAAGGCTCTCGAGCTGGACAAAAAATTACCATTTTCAAGGAATAGGACAGTTGAGAGCTATTTATGGGCACTTGGAACATACTTTCAGCCGAAATATTCACGAGCACGAATATTATTGGCTACTATTGTAATCATATTGACGATACTTGATGACATATACGATGCTTATGGCACCCTCGAGGAGCTTGAAATATTCACAAATGCTATATGTAGCCCACATCCTACTTCTCTAGAGGGGCTCCCAGATAGCATTAAGTACTTTCATCATATCGCAATGGAATTCTTTGACAAACTTGAGAAGGATATGGCTACGGAAGGAAGGGCAGGGTGTGGCCACTATGCCAAAAACGCAGTAAGATCCAAAGTCATAGATATCTATGATCTATTATTCATGTATTTGGTATAAAATATCTTACATATCTTTAATTATGTCAGTATAAGGTAACTGCAATAGGTTACATGCAAGAAGTAAGATGGGTGAACAAGGGGTACGTGCCCACATTCGACGAGTACAAAAAAAATGGAGTTTATTTTTGGAGTTACTTAGAAATGGCAACAGGAGCCTTTTTGGGAATGGAAGATGAAGCCAACGTTGATGCGTTTGAATGGCTTACCACGCCCCCTAAACTTCTTGTGAGTGCAGCTCTAATTGGCAGACTTTATAATGACATTGCAAGCTACCAGGTATTAATGGATGTAACCCACTTTGTTGTAGCACATTTATATGATATGCTTAAGATTTAATTACTTGTGTGAGAGATTTAATAAAAATATTTATATATCGCAGTTTGAACATAAACGAAAGCATGTTGGGACTTCCATTGACTGTTATATGAAGCAATATGGTGTTTCGTGGGAAGAAGCTTTGGAGGAAATAAAACGTATGGGTTCAGATTCATGGAAGGATCTGAACCAAGAACTCATGTCGAGGCCTTACCCTTTTTCTTTTCCATTGGTAATGCCATTTCTAAACCTCTCGAGGGTTATCGAAGTTTACTACAAGGACGAAGACATTTTCACCCACTCTGAGTTGTTGAAGGATTATGTTGTTTCTTTGTTCATTGACAACATACCTATATGAGAGGTCGTTGGTGGTTGCAATAACTTTCTAGCAATTATCTATGTTTCTTTTCCTTAATTTAGTTTCTTGGTTTGAACATTTCTACACTATTGTGATTTGTTGTGCGTTTACAGTAGTCTATTTAAGATATCGTCTTTGACAATCAGTTGCGTCATGATTCCTCCTCTTGTTTTATTTTGATACAAGACATATATACTAGTTTTCAGTTTTGGAAATTATTTATATCTAATTGTTGGATTTCCTCCGAACCACTTACAAATGAAATGTATCATCATTTGCTATCTTTTTATCAATGGACATTCCATAATTTTATAACAATTATTTATATATTATGGTTCTTTTGTGGACTTTTGACCATTATATAAGTTCTTTTTTTTGGTACTTTTCGAATCTTTTTGAGTTATTGTAGTCTCGTGTACATTCTGGATAAGATTGGAGAGTTTCAAGCATTTTGGAACCGAAGGAGTATTGTATCTTAACTGAACAAGTCGAATTGCAGTTTGGACCTTGGTGTCGGTCGACACTGGTCGTCTACAACAATTCTCAACGAATTGTAAAGAAGTTTCAAAAAATGGAAGATTGGTCTAAAGTTTCTACTTATTTACAAACAAGTCATTTTCGTATTTGAAACTATATTTAGGTTTTTAAAAGTGTCATTGTACAGGGGAGGAATAACTTGAAGAGAGATTACTATAGGTATTTAGCGAGAAAAATCTGGCTGTAACCAACGTCGAGTTGGTAAAAGGGTTGTGGTTGTTACTTCTGCCACTTAGGTTCAACTCACTGTGAAACTATTTACATACAAAACTTGAGTTCTCAATAAAGAGTTGAAACCATCTCTTTTTGAACCCAAAAAACTCAGGCCATACATTGTAGAGAGAGCATTTCAAACTCCTTTATTTCTCTTTTGATTTCTTAATGCAAATCTTGGTAATCTGCTTGTTAAATTTATGATTTTTGAAAGGTTAAAGATGGAGGATTGTTAGATTTAGATTATATAAAGTTCTTACAGTAATCTTATAGTTTTTCGTTTGAATTGTAATTAATGATAGTGCTAGATTAATCACCTTGAATTTAGATCTATGAATTGAACTACTTTTTTTATTTTTATGTAACAATGAATTGAACTACTTATAATACTACTATTAATATATAAAGTAAAGGCCATTAAAATATAACGATGTTATTGTATGCCAGCTAAAAAGATGTCATCCCACTCAAATACTCATCAAAATACAAAGTACAAAAGACAACACTGCTCATTATTCCCACCAGAATTAGAGATTCAAATCAACTTCCGTAGTAAGATCGATATGGAAATGATATTGATCTCTATCTGCTTATCAACCTTGGTAGCCTTTCTCTACCTAAAACCGTTTCTTAAGCGAAGAACCACCACCAACCTTAACCCACCACCGTCTCCTTGGCGGCTTCCAGTGTTAGGAAATCTACATCAGCTCAGTCTCCATCCTCACCGCTCTCTCGGTTCCCTCAGCCTCCGCTATGGGCCACTCATGCTCCTTCATTTCGGCCGTGTTCCCATCCTTGTAGTCTCCTCCGCCGATACAGCTCATGACGTAATGAAAACACACGATTTAAAGGTCTCTAACCGCCCAAAAACAAAGGTGATAGACAAACTTTTTAATGGTGGGACAGATGTTGCCTTTTCTCCTTATGGAGAATATTGGAGGCAGATGAAGGTATTTTTACTTAAATTTTAATATTTGTTTTTTTTTTTTAATATCTTCATAATTATACGTTTGCAATGTGTTTATGTCATCTTCATGTTTGGTATTCGCATATTGTTCCCAAATCTCTAGTAAGCCATCCGTTTCATTTTTGTTGCCATTCTAAGTTTACGCATATAGATTAAGAAAATAATTAATTTTACATATTCCCTATACATTATTTGTGAAGTGATTTTGCCACATGTCCTCTCTAGAATCAGTTTCACAAAAAAAAGATGACATGTCTAATAGAATTGATGACATGGCCTATGATTAAATATGACATGGACAATTGCATTTAATGTTAATATATATTTTTTGAAAACTTTATAGAATATGGTAACAACTCATGTATTACAATTAATATCAATTTATATTTTTGAAAATATTTTTAAAATATGGTAATAACTCATAAATCATCATTAAAATAATATATATTTTAAAACTATACAATTTTATTACAAAAATTTCAAAAATGTATACATTTTTAGAAAATTATTAAAACTTAATAATAAAATTATTAATTTCTTATATATTTAAAAATTTAATAAATATTGTCTAATTTTAATTTTTTATGATTATAAAATTTTCTACAAATTTATTTAATATATTTAAGTGATTTTGCCACATGTATTCTCTAGAATCAGTTTCACAAAAAAATGGTGACATGTCTATTAGAATTGATGACATGGCCTATGATTAAATATGACATGGTCAATTGCATTTAATGTTAATATATATTTTTGGAAAACTTTGTAGAATATGGTAACAATTCATATATTACAATTAATGTCGATTTATATTTTTGGAAATATTTTTTTAAAATATGGTAATAGCTCATAAACCATCATTAAAATAATTATATACCAACATGGCATTAAAAATTTCAAAAATATCATTTGATTATATATTTTAAAACTATACAATTTTATTACAAAAATTTCAAAAATGTATACATTTTTAGAAAATTATTAAAATTTAATCGTAAAATTATTATTCTTATATATTTAAAATTTGATAAATATTTTCTAATTTTAATTTTTGATAATTATAAATTTTCTACAAATTTATTTAATATATTTAATTAAAACAAATAGATAAAAAATTATCTAAGATTATAATTTTAAACATATACATGCATATTCTTAAATATAATTTAAAATAAACAAATATTTTTATATTACTTTTTATGTTTGATTAAACAAAATTTTGTATTAAAATAGTGATAAGAAAAAGAAAATTTTATAATATTAATAAAATTTTAATTTTAAACATAGTTTATATTGTATCCGTTAAAAGAATATTTTAAATTTTTTTATTGTACATGGTGCAGGAGAACACCTAATTTTTTTAAATAAATACACAATTATCTATACATCTAACCACATTCAATCAATAGAAAAATAGAATAACATAAAAAGTCAATTAACTTTGTACTGAAATTATAAAATGACATTTATTTATTTTAAAACGAAAATTTTACTTTACAACAACGACTAGATTGAAACAGTACTATATAGAACATTAATTTTTAGTGTGTTCAGCGGCGTTGAACTAAACACAAATTGTTTGTTGGAGTTGATAACTTTTTGGTCATTTATCAGGGATTTAATCATTTTTACACTTTTATCCATGTTCAATAAATTGTTTGGCGGTAAATAGACGTGTTGTAGAAGGCTAGCAGTTAGGGTTCCATTTGCTAATACATGTTTCAAATCCCTTTTGGGATGCATGCAGAGTATCTGCGTTTTGAATCTCCTTACCAAAAAAACAATTCGATCCTTTGAGAATATAAGGGAAGAAGAGATCAATATAATGTTGGACAAGCTTGAGAAAGCGAGTTCTTCATCTTCACGGGTAAACCTAAGCGAACTCCTCACCACTCTCACAAACGATGTAATAACTAGAATTGTCTTGGGAAGAAAATATAGTAGTGAGGAAGGTGGAAACAATTCCAAGAACATAGTGAGGAGATTCATGGAGCTCTTAGGTGCTTTCCCTCTCGGGGAATACGTTCCTAGTTTGGCATGGATAGATAGGATCCGAGGTCAGGATAAGAAAGTGGAGGAAATTCATAACGAGATTGATGGTTTTCTGGAAAAGGTGGTGCAAGAACATGTCGATGCCGATGAACCTAAGTCAGATTTTGTTGATATATTGCTATCTACTCAAAGAGATAAGACGACAACGTTCGAGCTTGACAGAAGTGGTTTAAAAATTATTGTCTTGGTAAAACAAAGTCAAATTCCTTTCTTTTACGTAAAATATATGAATTGTTACTTTAAAGGAATGTAACCAGTTTTGTGTATACTGTAGGATATGTTGCTTGGAGGGTCGTCGACAACTTTTACATTAGTAGAATGGACAATGACAGAGCTCATGAGACATCCGGAGTGTATGAAAAAACTCCAAGATGAGATACGTTCTGTTTCGATGGATAATTTATATGTATCGGAGAAAGAAGTTGAGAAAATGAACTATTTAAATATGGTGATCAAGGAGGTGCTTCGGTTACATCCCCCCACCCCACTAATTCCACGGATGCTGACTGAAAATGTCAAATTAAATGAATATGACATAGCTGCAGGAACACATGTAAGTCTTTACATGATCAAAATCTAAAAACAAAAAAATGGTTTGAGAGATATTAAGTTATATCTGAAAACACAGGTGATAATCAATTTATGGGCAATCCAACGAGACAGTGTAACTTGGGGACTGGATGCAGAAGAATTTAAGCCAGAGAGGCATTTAGATTCAAACTTGAATTTTGAAGGACAAAACTTTAACTTCATCCCATTTGGATCGGGGAGAAGGCTTTGTCCTGGAAGCAGATTGGCACTGGCCATGGCTGAGGTAACACTGGCCAACCTTGTGAACCGGTTCGATTGGAGAGTCGAGGCTAATCCACTAGGAGATGATCTACTTGAAGCAACTGGCCTAGATGTTTGCCGCAAGTTCCCTCTTATTGTCTTCCCATCTTCAAACTCAACATGAATGGATTTAGTGACTGTAAAAGTTTTAGACTTATCACTCATTTGCCCACTAATTGTATGCATGCTTTTGCAATGCTTGTCATTGTCTGTTTCATGCTTTTTTACATCATTTTTTTTTTTGTATAATTGCGTCAACACAATTTTCTTACGACTTGTATTTGTCAACGCGATGCCACGGTCTAAATCCCACAACAGAGGATGCATATAGGCTATGATCAAATATTCCTTATCGTTGTATGATTCAAAAGTTTAAGTCTTAAAATTATTAGTCAGCTAAGAAAAATCATGCAACCGTGTACAAATATATTTACAAATTAAATACATTGCAGATCTCCATGTCATTTAAACAATTGTTTGAAAAGTAGACAGGATTTTTGTGAGTGTGTCATAATCATAAATGCAAAAACAAACGTTCGACTTTGATTGCAATTTCAGAAACTCACGGACTTCCCTACTTCTTCTGATTTTCCCCATCAAACTTTTTTTTCTTCCCAACAAAAAAAAAAAACATCTCCAAAGTGCCAGCCATTTTGCCACTGTCATCTCCTACTTACTCTCTTCTCTTTTGTTTCCAGCCATCTATCACGAGTCCATTTATGAACCCTAAATGCATGTATATCTCCCGCCACTTATATATAAATATAGCTCACATGTCATTGTACCAAACTCTCTCAAGAAGCAAAAACTGAATTCAATGTTCAACACAAAATTTCATGTTGTCATTATCACTCTAAATCTTTTATTCCTATACGCGGGAGGACGTTTAATACCACCGGGTAACGTTCCAAGCACATCGGTGAAGTCTTTATCAGTCGATGATACAATCAAATTGAATCCGAAGAATCAGATATTCCGTGGGACAGAGGTAAAGAGTTGTAAGCCTAAGGGGTTCCGACCGAAATCCGCTCCAAGCCGGTTTGTAAATTATCAGCCTCTTGTTTCTGTTAAGTGTTCCTCATCCAAAGTTACTTCCCTGTCCAAAATTTCGCCCTAGTTAGTTTTTTTCTCTACCAAAATATATTTAACTGTGAAAATAAAAATGATGTTTTGATTCTTTTTGTGTCAATATTGTATGAAGAAGTATACGTAAGTCAAGTGTATATGTGATATTTTATATATATCATATACACGTTAATTTGTTACCTAAATTTCTTGCACGGATATTTAACTCTCTCTAGTTTATACAATGTGTGGTTGTGCGATGTTGCCGAATAATCCATAATTAACTTAGTATATTTTTTTTGTTGTAAAAGGGGTTTTAATTAACTTAGTTGGAATGAGAGAAAGTGTTCTTCTATATCCAGCTCAACGCAAAACACCTTATCGTCGACATCACTAACTCTACTTTGGTTTCTATGTAATGTGTGAAAATGTATTCATTTGTGGTTGTGGTATATTTTACCTACTACTCTCGTAATTTGTTGTGCTAATTAAATTAAACTTATGTGTCCCATATCCGATTAAGTATCAATCAGTGAAGATGTTACAAGAAAATAAAATAACAATACTAATGTTACAGAAATAGTTGCATCCATTTTCTTATAACTAACAATAAGTATCAATCAGTGAAGATGTTACAAATGTTTGATTTGTTCTTCCTCATTTCCAACGCATTGTAGCAGAAATAGTTGTATCCACTTTCTTATAACAAACCCTTCATTTTAGCACCGATTTATAATTAAAGTAGGCAAAAAAAAAACTTATTAATATCCCCCGATAACAAAAACGATACAATTATCTTCTATAACAACACAACACTCCTTTTTCATTAAGCTTTCCCATTAGACAACAACCCAACCTTACTCACAAGCCCATCAATAAACAAACTCAAATTCTCCTCAGACGACCCACCCCTTCTCAACGCACACTCCAAACTCCTCTTCACCCGTCCGATCGCCCCCTTAACCTCCTCCCTCTTCTCTCCCCCACACATCATCAAACGGTCAATACTCATCCTCACCTCCTCCCTCCCAACAAACCCCCTATCCCCACACAGATTCATCCCTATCCCCCAATCATCCACCACCAGCTTCCTATTCGTCACCTGATCCGTCAACAACGGGAAGCAAAGCAACGGCACCTCACACCATATACTCTCCAATATCGAGTTCCATCCACAATGACTCAAAAACCCTCCGATACTCGGATGCGACAGCACCGTCATCTGACAGCACCAAGGGATCACGATCCCTCGATCCCCGGCCTCGGTTTCGAATCCCGCGGGCAGGGGGTTGGTCTCGTCGGAGCTGACGATGTCGGGACGGACGACCCAGACGAAGCTGATTTTGCTGGAGAGGATCCCGTGGGCGATCTCGAGGAGGTTTTGTTTGGTGACGTGTGCGTAACTGCCGAAGGAGATGTATAGAACTGAACCGGGGGGTTTAGTGTTGAGCCATTGCGTGCAATCGGATTCTGACCAGAGGCTGGTTGTGATGACTGAACCGGGTTTGTTGGGATTGAAGGGGATGATTGGGCCGATTGCGTAGAAGGGGGTTTTGGAGTTTAGGGATTGGATTGTTTTGGATTCGAATTGGTGGATTGTGTTGCAGAGGACGAAATCGACTTTTTTCACGTCTTCGAAGGCTTTGAAGATGATTTGGTGGACCACTGAGGAGATGTCGGTTTCTTGGAGGTATGATGCGGTGTCTTTTGGGTTTATTGCTTCTACTCCGGGGATGTAATCGATTAGGTCTTTCCGGGTTTCTGATTGCATTGGAAAAGAAATGAATGAGATTTTTTTAGATAATTAGAAAAATTGTAAGGATGTGTTTGTTAATATTAATGTATGGACTCAACAGATAATAAACAAATTTTATTTTAACAGACGCTACAAGAAAATGAATTTATGGACCCGAGTTACCCAACAACACCTGACATTATTCACATGCGCCATTATTAGAGACAAACGCTATGTTTTACGCTTTACTTTTTTTTCCTCTTTTCTTTTTGGTCGGCAAATCGTGACGCTTACTTTAGAAAAAAACAAAACTAGTAAAATGTTTCTGTATACAAAAAAATCTCTATCCCTTGGGTAGGTATCATTTTCAGGCTTATTTAAAATATGGCATACAATGGAGAAACCATAAGTAAATGATATTTTCCAAATACGATTTAATCTACTGACGTGATATCGACATGTATAAAACCCCGATTTATAAACCAACTGGAAGTTTGTCACCCATTGTTTTCATAATATATAAAATAAAATTTTGATTTTGTAATGCATATTTACCAGTATTAATATTTTCACACAACTAGCATTGCATATACGTGTATTTATTTAATGATAATAACAGAATATTCGAATCTTGGATCGGTAAACATCAGTGGCGGATCTACGTTGGCTGGGGAGGGGACAACTGCCCCATAAAAATCTACAGCTAAATCTATTTACATGAGAAAAATCAAAGTTTTAGCAGCTTAGTTAGTTCCAGACATCTACTTGCCCCCTCCAAACCACGGCTCAACGCGTCTCTTGCCCCCTTTATTTTTATTTTATTTTGCTAAAATTTGTATTTTAATTATTTATCCCTTTTCCTTTTAACTCTTCATATTTACATTTCTGTCTACCTATCAATTCCCTTTTTCTCACGTATTTATTTAGTTTTTTTTTCATTTTTTTTTCATTCACAACTAATTATATCTAACATTTGTTTTTTTTTTTTAACAATTTATAATAGGAATCAATTTTTATAATTCTTTAAATTATATTTTTTTTTAATTTTTACCATTTTATAAATTTATTTTTATATATAGTATTATCATATGTAAAATAATATATAAAAATAATAATATTTATTTATTAACTAATTAATTATTATTTATGCCCTCATTCAAAATATTTTCTAGATCCGCCACTAGTAAACATGACCTATCAATCTTACTTACATTTTAAAATAGATATAGACGTTGACCAAGACCAAAAACGTACTAGGATGCTGTATTCATAAAATGCGGAAGATCTACCGGTATTATTATTTTTTAAATATAAAATCAGAGAATTTAACTAGAAGAATAATTAAATTAAAGAAGAAGATTAAGAGGATAATTAATTTACCTTTACCACCAAAATGACCATGAATCCGAAGCAGATCCATATGGTAATAGAGAGAAAAAACCAAAGCAGCTTCGGTCCAAAACGAGACACAAACCAAACCGAACTTCCTCGCAACCACCGACGGCCAAACAAAAAACGTGTCTGCGATCATCACATTCACACCTTCTCCGACAAGATTCTCCAAAAGCTCCTCCACGTGAGCCGAGAACACGTGCAACAAGGACGATTGGTACTGGTCATGGTTCAAAGAACGGTCAAACCCGAGAGGAAGTCCGTCGGAAACCGTGGCGTAACGTATGTCAAGACCAGACTCCGATCTAACTCCGGCGAAAATATCGCCGGAGTTGATTTGGTGGTGGTTGTAAAGAGTGTTGACGAAAGTGACGGTAATCCCCTGCGACGCGAGCTTGATGGCTAAGTGGACGAACGGGTTTACATGCCCTTGGAATGGGTATGGGATCAAGAGAGCGTGGAGATGATGTTTATGATGATTGTTAGGGTTTTTAACGTCCGCCATTGAAAGAGTGGGATCTTCTTTCTTTGGGAGCTTTTGATTATATGATGAGAAACCAAGAATGAGAGAAATTTAAAGGTTACAATTTTCTGTTTAATAAAAATAAAATAAAAGGGAGGATCTGTGATTAAGAAAAAGAAAAAACAAATGGGGCAAGTTGGGAATAAATGAATGACTTTGCATTGATTCGCGGAAATGTCCATAGAAGTGGATGGTTAGTGGCATTTCTATGCATTTTCTCCTCTTTGATTTTTGATCTTGATTTTTAATAGTAGTAGTATATATAACTATAACTTTGGGATTATTGACTTATTTTCTTTTAAGATATTTTTTTGAGCAAATCAAGTAAGATACCATGGCTAAAATCTAGTTCCTAGAAAAGGTTATGACCATTGGATTAGGATTTGAACGTTTGTAAATTTGCCGAGTCAAAGTGGTTAATTTGTCACAAAATTTTCTTCTTTTAGTAAACGAGGCAACAAAAAGGCTGATGTATCATTTATATATAATAATTAATAAGAAAATGAAAGATGAATATATTTTTTTTGCTTGGCCCATTATTATACCTCTAAAGTTTATGCAAATTCCGTTGTATTATTTGCCAGCATCTATTATATTCGAAAGATTATGACGAATATAAAATATATGACAGAGCTTTCTTAAGTTGTGGTGGTGGAGGGGATATGCATTCTAGAACGATGCTCGTGGTCATTGTAAATTTAGGTGTAAGTTTTATAATGAAACTTTGATGTTTAAGTAAAAAAAGTGTTGATTGAGCAAAAGTGGAAAGCAATTGTATAATCTTACATGTGGTTTGTTGTTTATGCGATTTTGGGGAATTCTTGTGGTGCTAAAGTATTAAATTTAGAGTAGAGTTCATCAAATTTCATCTTGTTAAGTCTGCTTTGTGTGATATAAGTTGTTTTATCTTTAGTAGATTTGAATACCGGGTAATCATTTTCTTGAATCAATATATCAACCACTTATGAGTGTTATATTGGAAGCCACATATGTTAGAATTTATGAATATTAAGAATGTAGAAAAGCAGAGTAACCAGTTTAGAGAAGATGTGAAGTCTGAAAGAAACAGTAAAGTTTAGGTGCTAAAATGTGAAGTCTGAGACGACATAGAGTTTAGAGAGAAAAGAAAATATAATAGAAAACTTTATTTTTATATGTGAATATGCAGAAAATAACATGATATAAACCGATTATTGGTAATGCTCTTACGTTGTGCTTTTTGAACAACAATAAACTAGTTTAAAAATAATTTATTTAGCATATAAACTTAATTAATTTTACTAACAGATCAAGTTTTAGCTCTGACTAGTTTAAAAATAAATTATTTAGCATATAACCTTAATTAATTTAAAACAATGACACATATATGTTATGTTATTATAGTTGTCAATGAAAATCTGATAAAATATCTGCTTTCTCGAACATATAACATATGAACACACACTTAAATTTTTAAAATTAAAATACATTTTATTTTGATACAAATAATATGTAATAATAAAGACATAAAATTTTATAAAATATTTATATTTACGAAATGGCGATCACCCAGCTAATCTTAAATTATTGAAGGCTTGAAATTTACGTGCCATGATCGACAAACTCAAATGCATATAAATATTATGCGCTTAGAAAAGTAGTCATTAGCTTCTATTGCATTTTTTTTTTTTTTGGTATAAATGTTATAACTTTATACCAATTTTTGCTTTTGACAGAATATTGCATCTTTTATTTGTCCGACTAACAAATATAATAATGTGTAACTGATATAATATCTTGTAAGATCATGTTAGCTTGTAACCAACAATCATTGCAACGTAAAATACTAAAATCCTTACCCTGTCAAGAGTTACACAAATATTAATAATCAAAGCATTAGTAGATAAATATTAATACTAAATTATAGCATCTTTAATTACTGAAGTACTCTGGTCGGTGAAAACCATACTCATAAACCTGCAATCCACACTGTTTACAAAGATCACATAGACCATTTTGTAAACTCGAGAGTCGAGAACATAAAAATAAAACATTCCAACCACATTTACAACCATTGAAATCACGGTCAAGATCATCGAGACAATTTTTAATTGTGTTTTTGAAACATACTATTAGCCAGACGGAATTACTATTCAGTGTTCTTTATCAAACAGCCACATCAACAATAACATATCTTTACTACTTAGAACTGTTATCACAAAAAAATTGAATAAATATTACAAGGAGAAACAAATATGACTGACCACAAATTAGCAACTTATGGACTAACTGTCTTTCTCAGCAAATGCCAATGCCTCATTTTCTTCTGTGACTCGTATGGATAGCCCTTTTCGCTAAGTCCAGTCTCTATTACTCCTTAGTGCAATGCGCATCTGTTCCATGCTGGACACACTTGTTATATCCAACGCTTTTCAGGAAATCGCGTATCTCTTTGGAGCTACTATTGCTTGCCTTGAGCAATCTTTCATCTTCCTCGTATATTAGATAAGGAGCTTCTGCAGGTTTCCTGGAGAGTAGCTTCTTAGCACCATTTAAAACATGCTTCTCCCAGCCTTGAACATCGATCTTGATAAGAAGGATTGGTTGAGAAGGCATGATGAGTTCATCAAGAGGTATGGATTTCACTTGGACCGCTATTTCTTTGTTGGACTTGAATGCAAGTCTTGCCCCCACCTCCGAAACCGCGCTGTTGTCTAGCCTTCCAACCAACTGTATCAACAACACAGATAAACAAGATAGGTGGTAGTACTGTTAAACCAATAATATGGTTACATTGGCAATTTTGAAAACTAGTTAGCACACAAGTTTCACTTAATAAGCAGCCTATGCATAATAAATACATCTTTGTATAGCTATTTGATTTCACACATATAAAACCATTCAGTAAATCATTGAGAGCCTAGAACGATTTTTTTTTTTTTTTTAAAAAAACTGATATGAAAAAATCATCTTGTTTAGGTCCGATTTAGCAAATCGCCGCTGCCTAGCGGATTTTTAGAACACTGTTGATAAAACCAAAATGAACTTTAAAACCTCTCTATCATAATTCTGTTATATAAATTTGGCTTAAAATAAAATGAAGCCTAGAGAAGTAGTCTTAAAAGCAGTAATAATCCTAGTTTCTAAACTAAACAGAATTAATACACTTTTTTCTCACTAAACTAATCTGAGACAAGTAGAAAAGTGATACCTTATGGAAGGTAATATCCCCATTTCTATCAGAAGCAGCAGCTTCAAACACAGTAACCAAAGAAGCAACTCTATTGAACCAAATCCCATCGCAGATCCTCTGCAAATTCTCAAAAACAGGCTCAAAAGCAAGAACTTTAAACCCCATAGCCGCAGCAGCGAAGCTAGCCATACCAACGTTAGCTCCCACATCAACAACGAACCCATCTTTCTTCCCATCACTCCTCATCCTCTCCAGAACCTCCTGGATCGTGGCGGAGATGTCCGGTTTCCGAAAGGCTTTTCCTTTGAGCAGCCTCACGATGTTCTTGTGCGGTTTCTCCGGGAGGTTACCGAGATCAGCGAGGGAGTAGACGAAAGGGTATTTGAGATTCTCGACGACGTTGGCGATGATGGGTTTGGATTGGGGGCATTTGAAGCAGTCGAAAGGAGGGATTGGGAAGTTTGTGTTGATTGTGGTGGAGTGGTTTGGATTGGTGTTTTGGAGAAATGAGGAAGAGGAGGAGGAGAAGAAGAAGAGGGAGGAGAGGAAGATGATGGAGAGGACAAGAAGTGAGATTAAGGTCTTTGGTGCCAATAGCAGCTTCTGATTCTTGTCTCTTTTCCATGCGTTTGCCATGGTTTGATTTTCCGACAAGAACGAAGTTTTGTAATGGGAAGCTAAAGATTAGTTTAGTTCTACTACTGTGATCTCAGATCTGACGAACATTAACTTACTAGAGATCTGATGAGTGACGTAAGTCTCCGAGTGGGCCTTGTTCTTTTTCTTATTGGGCTAAGTTTTTTTTTATATTGCTAAGGCCTTGTGTTTATGGTATTGTGGTGTTCTGTTTAATAGTCCAAAACATTTGCAATTTAGAAAAAAAATTATGTTAATTTAATAATTAAACTAAACTTATAGCTTCATAAATTAATATTATATAGAATTTTATTAAAAAAAACTTTTTAAACAATTTTTTTTTAAACAATTTTTTTTAAACAATATTATTTTAAAAATCTACATCGAAATAAATTTAATCGTTTAAGATGGTTTGAGGATCTCTGTTTAATCGTTTGATTTCATAAAATGTTGTTACTCTGTAATTTGACAAAAAGGTTTAAACCCATTAGCATCACTAATTAAACATTATAATTTTCTTACCATCATTCGTTTCAGATGTAAACAGTAAGGCCATAAATCCAATAAAAGTCAGCTTGTTCGAAACAGAATCTGCTCTCACTGTTTCAACTCCTGCATGGTTATAAGTCAAAACATAGAAGAAAGTAAATTAGTGATGGTAGTGGATTTAAACTTTTTTTGTCAAAATCTCACTGCTTTGTTTTTGGTTCAAGAAAAAGTCCAGAGGAATAACATTTCATGAAATCAAAGGATTAAACAAAGATCCACAAACCATTCAGTTATTAGATAAAAATAATTTTCTTATAAATTGCATATGGTATAATGACAATTAAGTTTTAAACATTATATTTTTTTACTAAAAGAAAAAAGTGTCATCATTCATTTAAAATTTAAATAGTAAGTAAGTCTCATAATAGTAATAATACTAATAAAACAAAGTAATAATTATTGCTTTTCCATTAAGTTGTCCTCATTCTCTCATATCATTTAATCAAAAACTCTATACAAAGTTAAACTAATCAGAATAAAAACTATGAGTATAAAACAAAAGAGACAAGAAGGCTATACCATTGACAATTAGACAAAACAAAGAAAGATCAAATGTCTCTACTCAGTCTCCTCTTCTTCTCACTCCTCTCTCTATCCAACTCAACCCCACTAAAAAAACCACACCCTCTTCCGATTCTACCCCTCCCTTCCTCCCAACAGCTCCAATGGCAGCTCGGATCCACCGCCATGTTCCTCCACTTCGGCCCCAACACCTTCACCGACTCCGAATGGGGCTCCGGCAAAGCCCCCCCGTCGGTCTTCAACCCGACCCGCCTCAACGCCACCCAGTGGGTCCAAACCGCCAAAGCCTCCGGCTTCTCCCGCGTCATCCTCACCGCGAAGCACCACGACGGCTTCTGCCTCTGGCCAAGCGAGTACACCGACTACTCCGTCAAGTCCAGCCCCTGGAGAAACGGAACCGGCGACGTCGTGGCGGAGCTAGCTTCCGCCGCCGCCGCGGAGGGTATCGGACTCGGTCTCTACCTCTCTCCGTGGGACCGCCACGATAGAGCTTACGGGAAGACGGTGGAGTATAACGAGTTTTACCTGAGTCAGATGACCGAGTTGCTGACCAAGTAAGGTCCTTTCTTTCAAACCCATGTTTTGATTCTGTTTCTTGTTTCCAAAGATCGAATCTTTTTTGGTTTTTAGCAACAAAAAAAAAAAGATTGAATCTTTGGTTTTTAGCAAAAAAAAAAAAAAAAAGATTGACTCTTTGTTTTGGTTTTGGTTTGGGTTTAGGTATGGAGAGATTAAGGAAGTGTGGTTAGATGGAGCGAAAGGGAAAGGAGAGAAAGACATGGAGTATTACTTCACCACTTGGTTTAGTTTGATTCATCAGCTTCAGCCCGGCGCCGTCATCTTCTCCGACGCCGGTCCTGATGTCCGGTGGATCGGTGACGAAGCTGGAGTCGCTGGGTCCACTTGCTGGTCGCTTTTTAACCGAACCGACGCGAAAATCGGGGACACTGATCCTCTGTACTCTCAGGAAGGTGATGGGTTTGGACAAGATTGGGTGCCTGCGGAGTGTGATGTATCCATCAGACCGGGTTGGTTTTGGCACGCGTTGGAGTCGCCTAAACCGGTGGGGAAGCTTTTGGATATATACTATAACTCTGTGGGGAGAAACTGTCTTTTATTGCTTAATGTTCCTCCTAATTCCTCAGGGTTGATATCTGAGGAAGACGTCAAGGTTCTTGAGGAGTTTAGTGAGGTGAAAAGATCGATTTTCGATAACAATCTCGCTCGTAAAGCCGTGGTTAACTCGAGCAGTGTTCGTGGGGGAGAGTTTGGTGCTGAGAATGTTTTGGAAGAAGGGTTGGATAAGTACTGGGCGCCAGAGGAGAAGCAGAAGGAGTGGGAGTTGTATTTGGAGTTTCGAGACCCGGTTAGTTTCAATGTGTTGGAAGTACGAGAACCGATACAGATGGGTCAGAGGGTAGCATCTTTTCATCTGGAGGTGCGGAGCGTTAAGAGCGGTAAGTGGGAGAGAGTTGTGACGGGCACGACGGTTGGTTTCAAAAGGCTGTTGAGGTTTCAGAGATGTGAGACGCGGTCTGTGAAGTTTGTGGTGGAGAAAGCGAGGGCAGACCCGCTTATATCGTACCTTGGAGTGTATATGGATAAGTTTTCGGATTTGGGAAGAGACTCATCGAAGATAACAGTCACAAGGACACTTCAGGAGGAGCTTGTACTAAATGATTTCAAGAGATAACTTCTCTGAGGAAAACTTCTCTGAGGAAGTGTTATGTGCTTTTGTCAAATGGTATAATCATGTCATTTATTAATCCTTGTGGCTTCTATCTAAAGCAAATAAAGGCTCTTAACTTTCTTTTGTAAGAGTTTCACCTTTGAGATATTTTTTACAGTTGACAAATCACAGTTTCTTATGTTGGAATCAAAACAGATTGATGCAACGAACAATCACAAGTCGTCGAATTTGGACTATTTAAATTGCAGCCTTCGGCCAAGCCTCTGTGCCAGACGGAGTGTTTCAAAGCTCCTGGCCCAGACGCATGTTCGAATGATATAGGTTGCAATGTGTTTCTTTTTAGTTTAAGTAGTACTATACACCTGTCAAAATTATATTGGTTTACAGAAATGCATTTGACTTTCTTCTAGTTGACCTATTCAATTTCTTCGACAAAGCTTCCAGAACTTGCCACGTGGCATCTCCCTCTCGGGGAGGAACATTAAACAGAAGGGCCCGCCCAACAGACGGATCCGCAAGGTTCTTCTGTATGTCGGACAAATTAGTAGCCGCCACGTGTTCTAAAATATCACCGAGTCTCCCGACGTCTCTCTCGGCCACCGTTAGCGAGATATCAGGCCAACGCACCACGGATGGGAACGGCAAACGAATCCCGTCGGCAATAATAACCGGCACGCACCCAAGTGCAACAGACTCAACAAGTCTCGGACTCCATGGGGCCCATCCCAGAGGACACAAACAGAAAACAGAACGAGCTATTTCTGACTGGTAACCGGCAAATCTATGTCTTTGGAGATAAAACCTCCGGTCACTACCGTAGCTCCTCCATATCTCCGTCCTTATTCGCCTAATAGATTAGAAAATAAAACTTATAAAATTAGTTATAGTTGAAATATTGTATGGCTGTTTGTGTAATTTGACGACGAAAAAAATTAAACAAAAAAACAATATTGTATTAAGATTTTGTTTGTTACTTGCTGTAGAAGCGTCCACTGATGTTTTTGTGATGAATCTCCATCTTGCCGCGGAAGAAAACCCTAATGTCTCGTTCTTTAGCAGCCGGAATATTCTTTTGAGTCTTATGTAAACTTTCCGGCGAGATGTACGGTGGTATCACAACGTTCTCTACCTCTTGGCATGGATGCTTATAAGTTACACCAAAAGTTTGCAAAACTATAGAGTTTCTCAACATCTTTGGTACCCCATCAGCAACTGCTCTATCCTCCTTCAGATACAAAAATCTCAATATAAATAAATAGATTAATTTTTTTTTAATAAAAATAAAGAAAAATTCTTTTGGATAATCCTTTTTAATTTGTTTTCATAAAAAGAAAATAGTAATCAAGTAAGAAAATGACCAAATTTTTTTTTTATTAAAGAGTAAATATGCACTTATACCTTTAAATTAACCAATCTTGACTCAAATTTTAAAGTTAAAAGATGAAGTTTGAGTTAAGATTCCCAATTTTTAAAAATAAAAAATAAATTTTACAAATTTCAAAATATATTTTAGTCATTTTCTTTTTTGAAAGTTATTTTTGTGACAAAAAATTAAAAAAGATTATTTAAGATAATTGCCCATAAATAAATAAATAAATAGATCAAAGTTGTCAGAATAATTTTTAAATTTTTCACAAAAAGTTGTTTTGTCATAATAATTTTAAAATAGGTTTCTTTTGAACTAACCATGGTGTGGAAGCAAGAGCCAAAGTCGTGTGTAGCGGTGAAGACGTGGTCAGAGCCACTAGTACGGTTCCAAAACGGGTATTGAGCAGAGACGAGGTCTATCGCTTCCTTGATGAGTGATCGGGCGTGACCAATCGCTGGAAAGCCATTGACTGTGCTGAAATTGCAAGAAACATAGACAGGGACGAAGAAGAAGTCGGCTTCGTAGGGATCTTCTGTCCGTACGTCTCCGTCGAGGCTGAGCAACGCTTTGTGAAGAGCCACCTCCGCAGCGAAGAGGTGGTTGCTGCATCTTTCGTTGGCTAACCAATCTGTGTTGAACTTGGAAGGCAAGTCATAGACGTAGATCTTCAAGTTGTTGAAAACATCTGAAGAAAATTAAAACAACAACAAGAAGAAAGTGTTATAACATGAGACCCTAGTCGCTTAAATCATGTATGTATAATTTACCTGTTCTGATGTTGGGACGTTGAAGGGGAAAGCCAAGTCTCTGGTCTTGGATTTTTGATTCAAACATGGCACGAGAAGGGAGAAGCTTGGGTTTAGGGTTAGTTATGAGAGAGTTTGATGGCGACAAAGAAGAGGGAGGGTGGTCTTCTTGGTCATGATCGACAAAGAAGGAAGCAACAAAATATAGAGTAAGTGAAAAACAGAGGATCCATTTGTAGTAGTGTTTAAAACATAGACCTTTCTCTGTTCTTCTCTGTTTCTGTGCCATGGTTCTTGATTTTCTTGAATAATTTTTAGGCCTCTGCTTGCTTGATAGAAATCATCTGTTTGTTAATAGGGGTTAAAGTTGGTGAAGAGGGGTTTTCGGGATTGGTTTGGGAGATAAAGTAGAGTTTAAGAATGGTTGAAAGGTAGAACAGTAGAAGTTTGATGAAGACAATCCAATTAATCTCTTATGTCTTTGTTGACTCTTCCAAAATAAAAACATTTCATATTTCCTATTGAATTCTTAAATTTTGGAATCACATTTCTTAATTGGATAACAATTATAAAATGAAATTATTTTAAATTATTACTAATGAATAAATTCTTTATTTTTAATTAGAATCATATAATTTTTAATTATAACTTTTCATAAATCCTGTTATATATATATCTCTATAATATTATTTGAGAAGTCACTTTCTTAGGTGTCGCGCTCACGTTTACTCTCACGCTGGTTGATTAATATGATACCCCTTATGAATTAAAAATATATTTAAATATTATTATTTCCTTTTTAAAATCTTCCAAATAACAATATAAAATAAAAAGGAAATATTTATAAAATTTACAAAACTATTTAAAACGAAAAATAAGTATATATATAATATGGTTTCATAAAAAAAGAAAGTTTACAAAATAGTAATATTTAACTTAAATATATTTTAAATAACATAAATTATACTTTTAAGTAATAAAATACTTTATATCTATATCTTCTTAGATGAAAAAATATTTGTATATAGTGTGTTTTCATTAAAAAAAGTTCATACAAATAATCTTGATATTAGAAAAGAAATATTTTTCTTTAAAAATAATTTAAACAATAAAATATATATTTTCAAATTAATTATTTTTTGATATATCTATCTATTTTATTAGATTATTACATAAAATAATTAAGTAACATAAACTGATGTATGTTTAATTGAAAAAAGAATTATAATTAGTATTATTGAAATATTTTTTAGTATATTTATTTGATTATAATATCTTAAAATTACAGAAAAAATATAAATTATATTTTACTTATATAATATACATTTTTACTGCATATTTTAATAGATGTTAAAAACAAAACTAATTAATAATAAACATCTTTTGATCAAATAACTACAATTCTTTTAATATATCATAACACTATAATTTAACAAGGTAGATATATTATAATTAATAGTTAAAATTATCTGTTTTCTTAATAACTCTTTTGAGGTTTAATTTTCTGTTTTTATGTTTGTGGAATTTAATATAACCATAATCTAATACTTAAAGCAAATCAGAATTCCTTATTTTTAAAATTATTTTT